TTTGTTTGTTTTACTAATTCTCAACAAAAATACAAGATAAATAAAACTTTTAACCACCTTTGCCTCCAAATTCTTGTATCCTCCCAAGGTAATTAGTGTCATCAATGTGGTCTGTATCCTTCTGTGTATATTGTATTATTGCATATATTTATGTACATATATATCTCTACCTATTATGGCTGCAAACAGAACAACACAGGTCCAGTGGCTTATATTCCTTATAGTTTATTCTCTTTTTAATTTCTTTTTTTAAAGAGAATAAAAAATAACAAAATAACAACAACATAGACAAAAACAAAACTACACAAAAACAATAAAAATGATACAGGGTTTCAAAACAAAATGATAGGTATTTTTATAGTTTATTCTTACAGTGTATTTCTCACGGTTCTGGAAGAAGGGAAGTCTAAGGTCAGGGCACTGGCAGATTTGCTATCTCAAGGCCCACTTTCTCATAGACAGCTATCTTCCCACTCCGCTCATACTCAGATCACAGCACCACACATATTTACACATCACATGTACATGTATTTATCATGTTGTGTGTATGTTCTTTCGCAGCACTGGGGATTCACACTGAGCTATATTCCTGCATTTAAGGTTTTCTTCTGAGCCAGGTTCTCAGTTACTAAATTGCCCATGATGGGCCAGAAATTGTAAACTTCCTGCCCCAACTTCCCAGAGTGCTGGGATTACATAGGTGTGCCACCACCCCAGCTTCTTTTCTGTTTTTGAACAAATGACATTGCCTATGGAGTCCCTCTGTAATTTCACCAATATATCCCGAAGTCCATGTAAGTAAATGATATGGATGTCTCTCACTGTTATAGATTAAGTAGGAATCCAGAATATCCATGTACCATAATGTATTTAACTTCTCTCCTATTATCATTAAGGTTAACAGTGTTTTCCAATTCCAACACTAGTAATTCCCTTATAAATAACTTTTTCTACAAGCATGAGAGGGGTCATTTGGAACATAGTCCAAGAACTGGAACTTCTAGGTCAAAAGAATGTGCACAGCTGTTATTTCAATAGACCCCACACCTGGGGCGAGGGATATAGCTCAGCGGCACAAGTGCCTGCCTGGCAAGTACAAGGTCCTGACTTTGATTCCCGGTACCTAAAAAGAAAAAGGAAAAGAAAAACAGACCCCACACCAAACTGCTTGCCTAAGTGACTATATAAAATTTATTCTCCCTCTGGAAGTATAGGCACACATTATGGTCAATACCTATTACCAAACCCTTTACTTTTTGTCAGTTTAATAACTGAAAATGGTACTCTTAGTTTGAATTTCCTTAAAAATAAGGATGTGCATCTTTTCACATTTGTAAGCCATGTTTCCTTTCATATGAATTTCTTTGCAAAATATATCCATTTTTCTGTTGTATGTTTGTCCTTTTCTCAATGATTTATAGGAGCTCTTTATATACTCTAGAAACTATTCACTTGTTTCATATGTGCAAGCAGTTTCTCTGTCTTGTCTTTCAACTTTGGCTTATAATTTTTAAATCCTATAGTTCATGTACATATATCAAACTCAGTAAATTACAGCATTTACATTTTGTGTTACAAGAAGTCTTCCTTACTCCAAGGTCATAAACATAGTCCATATTTTCAAAAAAGCTTATCAATTTTCATGTTTATTAAACCCACATAAATTTTTAGTGAATGAATGGATTAGGTCCCTTAATCATTTTTTTTTAAAGAAAGAAAAAAATTTAAAATAACAATAAAACAGAGTTTCAAAACAGGCTAGTAGGACAGTAACAATAATTAATACATTGCATATTGTTATCATCACAGTAGTTATCCAGAGTACAAATATGGGCAAGAAATATTGTCCAAACAATATTTGCTCAAACCTTTTTCAATGAACTAATTCTCTTAGTTCATTAGCTGTATAATTGTCTTGACTATCTTGTGTGTGTATATATATATACATATTTTTTTTTCTTTTCCCTTCCTCCCTTTCCCCTTTCCCCCATCCCAGTTTCTTTTTTCTTTTGAATGGTTTCTTCCCAGTTCACAGTATCTATTTTACACTTTGGATATTATTTACTCATTTAATTTCTCATACTAGTGAGACAGTATGATGTCTGCACATACAGGTCTGATTTGTTTCACTCTGAGTATGCTCTCAAGTTGCATCCATTCACCTATAAAAGTCTCCAGTTTATCCCTCTTTATGGCTGAGTAGTACACTAGACCCATGTCTATCACCATGCACTAAAGTCAAAACGGGTCAAAGATCTAAAATATTTTGACACTGGGTAGGCAATCCCTGTTCCTTCCTCACCCTGCTTTTTGTTTTTCCAAGTTGATCTTGGCCATTACTACACATTTACCTTTCCAAATGAACTTTAAAATCCATTTTCTCAAAAAAAAATCCATTTTCTCAAATTTCCTAATAAAGTTCATTTGGGGTTTTGATTGGGATTGCACTACATTTCAGGATAGGTACAGTTCTATATCTTTACAACATTGTATTTCCCATCTATGAACATGTAATCAATTTATAGCTTTTGTGGACATTCACTTTAGGTTGATTATCTGGCACTCCTGAACTTTCTTAGTTTTAATTTGTCACTAGATTCTCTTGTAATCATACTGTCTGAATGTTTTATCTCTTCCTTTCCAATGTCTGTGGTTCTTATTACTTTTCATATTGTATTTGCTACAGTGAGATCCGCAGAACAATGCTGAATAGTACCAACAATGCTGACCACCTTAATTTCACCCATATCTAATAGACTTGTTCTAATACTTCTCCATTCGGTAGATTTCCTGTGACTACCCTCCATCAAGTTAGAGACATTTCTATCCATTGCCAATTTTTAAATACACAAAGAGAAATATCCTCAAATGTTCTTTTGGCATTTGAGATAAGCATACGCTTCCCTCCTTTAGTGTATAGATTTTGTAAATTACAGAGGTGTTTTTTCCAGTTTTGAACCAGTCTTCCATCCTGATAAACCTCTTTTTAATCATAATATATTTTTGTTTTTTATTTTAAACCTGTGTTTATAAGTGAAAATAGCCCATATGTAACTTTTATAGTAAGGAAAGTACACCCCCAAAATGTTTTATATACAGATTTTTTTCCATTATTTGTCATAAAGAAAATATATAAGACACACTTACCCTACATTTAAAAAACTTGTATGAAAACTGAATGTTTATCAAATGAACAAAAAGGGTAATGTTTTAACCTATGCTACTTACTGAGTCCCTATGTAGATTAATGCTATCACCATCAATCCAGCCACTCACTCCTCCAGGACTCACTGAAGTGGTCCTCGCTGCCCTCCCTACAATGCCCACACCCACGGACGCACCAAGTCCCAAACACTCTACCAGTCACTCTCTCTCACATCTCTTGCTAGGAGGCCATGAGGTGCGAGCAAAGTCCAAATTCTAAGGCAGCATTTCACTCTAGTCCCCCCACCCTCTATGTCCTCATCTGCAGAGAAACAGGTCACTTATTATCAAGTTTGAAAGGCTGTAGACAAAGGTGAATGAGATAACGTGTAAAGTACTTGCCACCGTGTTTGCTCTCATGAATGCTCTCAAGATCACCTCCTCTGCTCTGCTTCCCCTCCATCCCTGGCCCAGGCCGGGCCCGCCAGCTTTCACCTCTTCTCTGACAACCATCTTCTACTCTTTCCACTCTCCAGCCACAGCCCCAAAGCTCACTTTCTAAAATGAAAGTGGAATTGTGCGATTCACCTATTTAAATCTTGCCACAGGCTCCCTTCCTATCAAATAAAGCTCCCGGTTTTCTATGTGACTTACAACCTACTTTTCTGACTTTGGCTTCCTGTGCTGCTCCTGTACTTTACATCCAGTGCACAGAAATCTGGGCTTTGGACTGAAACCCCACGCTCGCTCCAAGAACTTTGCTTTTCTGTATGCTCACCCTGCTTCCAGAAAGCCTTTCCTTTCATTTCCTCTAAGCAAAATATATCTATTCAACCTCTGAAGACATAGCTTAACTGGTACTTCTTAAAAAAATAAAAATAATCCCATACAGAATTAAATACCCATTGCCAGTGTTCCCATACCAGTGTTTAACTGCTATTCTATCAAAATCACTTGCTTATACATCCTCCCCACTCACTGAGGCAAGGACTGTGTCTTAGGCCATCTGTGTATTTGCCACTTTGTGAAGAAATCAAACAATGAGTAAAACAAATAGAATTTCTGTTTTAAAGAAGACTCTATTCAATCTTTCAACAAAGCAAAGCTGTTTCTGATCATGTCAGTCAGACTTTCAAAGTTGATTTTAACAAGGGGGACTCTTAAGTGAGACACTATCACAATGAAGCTAATTTGCCCTACTGTTAACTTAAAGGGTAAACAGGGTAGATGTGGAGCCACCTGATCTCTCCAGGAGTTTGGATTAGACCTACATGGGCTCAGAGGCCCCTGTGAAATGACCCTGCTGAAATGACATCAGTTGCTCTCAGGAACCAAAAGCATTATATTATTTTTAAAGAACATGTCTTCCATGAGGCTGGCTTGTTCTCCATGCTCAGAATTCTCTCAGAAGTGCAAATAGCCAGCTACCTCCTCTCTCCAAATAAATGAGTTTGGCTTTATTAGAGTATGTAATAATAAAAGTTGAGAAATACAGGTTAGAAAAAGACTTTTTCCACTACAGTTACTTGCTATGCTACTAAAAGAAAAAGAGCCTTCTTGTATCATAAGACCTCCCAAAAATAAACACCATTTAATATCACACGTGGGGAGGTATATATCGCATGCTTTCTAAGCTAGAAGATGGTCTGGAAAGTCCTAAGACCCTCTTATAATCTCTGACAGCCAAAACAGTAGCAGTTGTTCTATTTAGAAACTGTAGAAAAAATACAAAATAAACAACTAAGCTTGGTCTTATCTTTTTAAATAACTCAATATGTAAATAACAAAAAAAATCCCTAACAAAGAAATCAGATTTTTGAATAAACATTTATTAAATTAAAAAATACTTTTCTTACATTATTCTCCAACAAAGAAGGAAGGAAGGAC